GAATGATCTGACGCAACTTGGTTTAAAATTATCATTGCATTAAAAATAAATATTGAAAAAATGCTATTGATTGTACCAAATTGTTTGACGGGAAACAACCACGTGAAGAACAAGTTCAAAAGCATTGTAGATTAATTTAAAAATAAACATCAGGAAATACATTCACCTATACATACATCCATACATACATTCGAATAATTTCGACCAAACACATATTTTGAAACAACTCTGTACAAATGTGTAATTCGTCATGGCCCTGGTACATCCGCCTTGGCCAATTTTCGCCATATCTTCCTCCACATCGATTTGCAATTCCCCCGTATATCGACACGGTCAATATGCCTCAACATATCTTGCCTGGGCCAATATTCGCAGTGTCTCCTTGTACACTGACTGGACCAATATGCCTCCCCAAACATTGCATGGCTGGCTCAGACAACAGATGCACTAGGCCAATATCTCATTTTACATTTTCTGGGTTGATAATTCCCGTGACTGGGCCAATATAAGCAGTTATTCATGTCCTGATTTGGTTAATATTCGCAACGGTACAGTCGCTAATGCTATTGTTTATTGATTAACGTCATTCTAGACTGAACGTAACTAATTTCATGAATTCCTTGTTCCCCTCATTTGGTTGGCTTTACATATTTATTGAATATAAGTTTATAAGCACTCGGAGTTGGATGAATCACAAATATTTTGTAATCAATGTGGTTCTTAGCCTGAGATATAAGAAACTCCCAAGAACGAAATGGGATTCGTCCTCGGTTGGATTTAACGAGCAAAACGCATATGTTCTCTCCTCAATCACTACATCAAATAACGCCCGTCCCCAATACGTAATCTATGACACCCACAACGAATACGGGCAATTGCATATTTGTGTGTTAACATTTGTGCTTACCAACAAGTATTTCTCTGGCACTAACATAACTTTGAAATTACAATACGTACGTAGTTTGTCATTAGTACACACTTCACTGTACCACTCTTGCTCATAGCTACCAGTTACCCGCTGTCTTATCTCCACTATGAATTACTTGACATTTATCACACCCTGGGCAAATCACACATTCAAGCCGAATCCACACGGAAATAAAATATTTTTAATTTCTGTTGCCTATGATATGTCACCATTATTGTTCAAATTGTAATCAATTTATACGCTTGCTTAAATTAAACCTTCAATTTAATATCCCCAACATTACATTGAAATGTGGACAGAAAAAGCATTGCCTTCTGTGTTTATGATGCTAAATTACAAACAGCTTTCGACCTGGTATTTTCTACATGTCATCCATCAAACCAAGATATTTGTAAGAGATTACCACTTCAATATATTCCCCGTTTATGAATCATTTTTCCTTGAGTGCATTATGTCCCCTTTGCGAAACACAAAAATGTTAGTTTTCGCCAGGTTAACTGTTAGTTTCCATTCGATACAAAAACATTGTAAACCTGCATTTGAATCTGCAAACACAACAACTTCATCTGCATACACCAGTGCACACAAATCAAACATTTCATATGTGAACTGCACGCAATTATAACTCAAAAAAATATTCCATATATATTTCTTCAATATATAAGGAGAAGGGGACAGTATTTAGAATACCACCCTGCCTCATCTCAATACTATAGTTAACATATTCAGAGGTATCACGATTAATTTCGATACATGACTTCACATCATATAATACACTGACCTGACAATTGCTAGCATCTTCCCCGAAATGCCTCACAGCTGATGATGGAATATTTTATATTGCAATCTCTTTTTATTTTTTGATTTGTTGTATAGCAATACATTATACATTTCTTCATTTCATTGCTTAGAATGAGTTATAATACTATATTCTGCATTTTAAAGAAAATATACCGGTGATATATAACGTTTATCACAGTACAGCCTCAATAGAATTCTACCTCAATACAAAAGGAACATTACCTTCGTAATTTCTGTGTTTGCGTCCTAATCTTATTAGAAAATATTGTCTTCTATACCATCGATCGATAGGTATAGCAGTGCTCGTCATTCACATGCATAGATCTGCTCGTCTTTCATATGATTTAGCTTGTCTATGATTCATATGTATAACATTGCCCCGTCATTTACATGCGTAGATCTGTTTGTCTTTCACATTAATTAGTTTGTCTCTGATTCATATGTACGGCATTGCTCGTCATTCACACGCGTAGATCTGGTCGTCTTTCATATTAATTAGTTTATCTAAGATTCATATGTATAGCATTGCTCGTCATTCACATGCGTAGATCTACTCATCTTTCATATGAATTAGCTTGTCCGTGACTCATATGAATAGCATTGTTCATCATTCACATGCATATATCTGCTCGTCTTTCATATGAATGAGTTTGTATATGATTCATATGTATAGCACTGTTCA